AAACAAAGCAATTTTCACATCTCATATGTGCTAATTTCCTGTGGCAATATTGTGTGCCCAGTGTGCCATTTTGATGTGAGAATTTTCCCATTTTGGTATAATGATTTAGTCATTCTTAACAACTATAGTGCAGATATTTCAAACAAGTCCTCCTTACATATACAAGGATACAGCTTCAGTAAGCTTCAGGGTATTGGATGAAACAACAGCATGCTTATATAATTTCATTTACAAAAACACACATTTTGATTGCATGAAAAATCAGAAGGAAACATCACCAGCCACATGTGCCTTCACCATGAATTTGTGATGTCATGTAAATTGGGCAACATAACATGTTACATTGTTCAAGTGTAGGAGGGTAAATTTGCCAGGTAAAAAAGTGCATGGTGATTTGGGTTGGGTACAGGAAGTGCCATGCTGTGTCAGCTCCCTCCTGCTGTGATTAATGGTCAGCTGCCTGATATCCCACTGTCTGGGCACTAGCTGCAGGGCTTGACACTTCCTGTATATATATGTACTGAACTACTCCATAGTGAAGCGGACGTTAAAACCTATCAATCAATCAGTAGATACAGTATTTGTTTTTGTCCCGTGAGTTAAACATACTATTTCTGAATAGTAATCAGTTAGACAATGACATTTAATTTGTATCACTTATATGTATATAATGTGTTGTTTCTAAAACTGTTAATGTTTCAAGTCATTCAGTATAGTTTTGCAGTTGTGTTGATTAAACAATCATTTGAAGTACCTTGAATCTGAAAATTGTCAGAATATTGCCTTTATATACCAATGTCATTAGTTAAGTTAAATCATAACATCATAAACAAGAGAAAGCCAGATTTCATTATCAGTTTAGAAATGTTTGGTATCATTGATGGCTTATTTGTAGATCAGTCAAAAGTTCAGCTAGAAGCATACTGTTGTAGATTTGCTGTTAAACCCATTAATTGATAGGATAGGTGCATTCAGGGGTTGACTTTAGCCAGGTTCTGATTCTAAACAAGAGGCCCAATGGGCCTGAATCGCTCACCTGGTATTAATCTCACACTTGTTATCTTAAAAGTGGACTAAAATACAACTACAGGCAGAATATCAGTGTTTGATTCATAAGAATCTATTAAAAGATTTAAACATATGACGCCCGTGACCTTGAATGTCGAACAAGGACATTGAACAGGTTGAACAGAGTCTTATACAGAACAAATCATTTAATGATTTAAACATATCTTGACCACTGTGACCTTGAAGGTCATTCATTTGAACAAATATGGTAGCCCTTTATCCCAGCATGTTAATGGCCAAATATCATCACCCTTGGCCTTTTGCTTAGTAAGAAGTCGTTTAAAGGTTTTTAACATATTTGACCCCTGTGACCTTGAATATATGTCACGGTCATTCATTTTGACAACCTTGGTAGCCCTTCATCCCAGCTTGTTACTGCCAAATATCATCACCCTAGCTGTATTGGTTATTCAGAAGAAGTTGTTTAAATGATTTTAACATATTTGACCCCAGTGACCTTGAATATGATTCAAAGTCATTAATTTGAACAAACTTGGTAGCCCTTCATCCCAGCATGTTACTGGCCAAATATCATCACCCTGTGCCTCTTGGTTTTTCAGAAGAAATTGTTCAAAGAATTTAACATATTTGACCCCTGTGACCTTGAAAATTGGACGAAGGTCATTTATTTAAACAAACTTGGTAGCCCTTCATCCTAGCATGCTTCTGGCCAAATATCATCACCCTATACTTTTTGGTTATTCAGAAGAAGTTGTTTAAAGAATTTAACATATTTGACCCCTGTGACCTTGAAAATTGGACGAAGGTCATTTATTTAAACAAACTTGGTAGCCCTTCATCCCAGCATGCTTCTGGCCAAATATCATCACCCTATGCTTTTTGGTTATTCAGAAGAAGTTGTTTAAAGAATTTAACATATTTGACCCCTTTGACCTTGAAAATGGACGAAGGTCATTTATTTGAACAAACTTCGGGCCAGGTGAGCTAATAAAGTAGCTCCTCAGTATTTAGAGGAGCGTGTCACCATTTATCAGCAGTCCTTGCAAACAGAGTCTTAGTTTACTCAGAGATTTCTGCTCACCTGTGACTTTTATGGATATTATCCATGCTCATCAGTGACTTTTATTAACAGATAGTTTAATTCCCATGCTCATCAGTGACATATATTAATGGATATAATTATCCATGCTCATCAGTGGTTTTCATTAATGGATAGTTTCCCATGCTCATCAGTGGTTTTCATTAATGGATAGTTTCCCATGCTCATCAGTGACTTTTATTTATGGATGATTATATATATACCATCAGTGGGTCTTTTTAATTTATTGATGATTATTCATAACTCACACAATATCACATAAAACAAAAGCTGGTGTTTACAGAGTCTGTCACTGATCAACTCTCTCTCCTTTATATTACCTCCAGATGAAGTTAAGAGTACCCGGTAAATGATTTAATGACTAAAGGTTTCTCATACCAGCCTCCTGCATTCATGTTTGGTCATTTGATCACAAAATGTAACATTATTCAATTATTTGCATTGTTATGTTGCGATCATCATCATATCCTCAATAATCTTTATATGCTATAATTTCCCCCACGGAAATGCTGTTTAACAAAGGAAGTGTAAGAGCTTTTTCTGAGATCATTTTAGGTCCAATTTCAGTCCCTTACCGATAAGAAATATTGTCATTATTTCCGATCTCTCTTCGAAATATCCAAACATACAAAACTTTGAAGCTTTTATTCAGATACAATGCTACATCGCGCATCTGAAATGAAATAATATATCCTAGATGTAGTTGTTTTTCCTTCTAGAAGTCTTTCAGATGACACTGTGTTGTAGGAAAACAAGTTTCAGTATAGCTAATGGTAATCTGTGACACAATTTTCCCAATTACAAAGCCACAGGCCCCATTCCCAATACAGTAGGAAAACAAGAGGCCCGATGGGCCTGCATCGCTCACCTGGTATAAATATCACACTTGTAACATTAAAAGTGATCTAAAATAAAGCTACAGGCAAATTAAGTCATTATGTTGAACAAATTTTATAGCCTTTCATTTCAGGATGCAACTTGCAAAGTATCAACATCCTGGGACCCATTGTTATTCAGAAGAGGTCGTTTACAAATTTTAAACAAATTTGACCCCTGTGACCTTGAATATAAGTCAAAGTCATTCACTTTAACAAACATAGTAGTCCTTGATACCAGCATGCTACTGACTAAATATCAACATCCTGAGCCTTTTGGTTATTCAAGTTGTTTAAATTTTTTGTACATATTTGCTCCTTGTGACCTTGAATATGATTCAAGGTCATACATTTGAACAAACTTGGTAGCCCTTGATCCTAGTATGCTACTGACTAAATATCATCACCCTGGGCATTTTGGTAATTCAGAAGAAGTTTTTAACATATTTGACCCCTGTGACCTTGAATATGGGTGAAGGTCATTCATTTGAACAAACTTTGTAGCTTCATTTTAGCATGCTACTGGCCAAATATCATCATCCTGCGCATTTTGGTTATTCAGAAGAAGTTGTTTAATGTTTTTCACATATTTGACCCCTGTGACCTTGAATATAGGTAAAGGTCATTCATTTGAACAAACTTGATAGCCCTTTACCCCAGCATGCTACTGGCCAAATATCATCACCCTGTGCATTTTGGTTATTCAGAAGAAGTTGTTTAATGTTTTTCACATATTTGACCCCTGTGACCTTGAATATAGGTAAAGGTCATTCATTTGAACAAACTTGATAGCCCTTTACCCCAGCATGCTACTGGCCAAATATCATCACCCTGGGCATTTTAGTTATTGAAAAGAAGTTGTTTGAAATTTTTAACATATTTGACCCCTGTGACCTTGAATATGGGTGAAGGTCATTCATCTGAAAAACTTTGTAGCCCTTTATCTCAGCATGCTACTGGCCAAATATCATCACCCTGTGCATTTTGGTTATTCAGAAGAAGTTGTTTAATGTTTTTCACATATTTGACCCCTGTGACCTTGAATATAGGTAAAGGTCATTCATTTGAACAAACTTGATAGCCCTTTACCCCAGCATGCTACTGGCCAAATATCATCACCCTGGGCATTTTAGTTATTGAAAAGAAGTTGTTTGAAATTTTTAACATATTTGACCCCTGTGACCTTGAATATGGGTGAAGGTCATTCATCTGAAAAACTTTGTAGCCCTTTATCTCAGCATGCTACTGGCCAAATATCATCACCCTGTGCATTTTGGTTATTCAGAAGAAGTTGTTTAATGTTTTTCACATATTTGACCCCTGTGACCTTGAATATAGGTGAAGGTCATTCATTTGAACAAATTTGATAGCCCTTCACCATGCTACTGGCCAAATATCATTACCCTGGGCATTTTGGTTATTGAGAAGAAGTTGTTTAAAGTTTGTTTAAGACAAATGACCCCTGTGACCTTGAATATCATTGAAGGTCATTCATTTGAACAAACTTGGTAGCCCTTCACCCAAGCATATTACTGGCCAAATATCATCTCCCTGGGCAGTTTGGTTATCGAGAAGAAGATGTTTTAAGTTTTTAACATATTTGACCCCAGTGACCTTGAAAATGGGTAAAAGTCATTAATTTTAACAAACTTTGTAGCCCTTCTTCCCAGTTTGCTGCTGGCCAAATATCATCACCCTAGGCCTTTCGGTTATTAAGAAGAAGTCGTTTCAAGTAAAATATTGACGCCGGACGGACGCCGCGCCACGGCATAAGCTCACTTGGCACTTCGTGCCAGGTGAGCTAAAAATTTGGCAGAGCTAGAAACTGAACCATAGGGTTTATAAATTGGAATCAGAGACTTTGGTTAGAAATTCTGTATCGCCCATTTAAGAGATTTGATAAGTACTCTTCTACTTTGTGAAGTACAAGAAAATAATGAATTTAGTACCCAAGATGAAATACCCTGTAGGCAGCAAAGTAAAGCATAAAGACTTACCTTTTGTGAGAAGTTGAGCCAGATATGTGTTTTGCTGGGAGGGCGTTAAAGTGTTGCTGACTGGTGTTGGGGTGGAGATTTTGGGCAGTAAGGGAGTCTGTCCATGTCGTGTTTTCGTTCGCATCATTTTCGTCTGAAAATAGGAATTAATACTTTGAAAACCTGAAGCAAAGACCAATTTGACTGTTAACTCCAGCCCTAAGAAATTGCACAGATCATCAAAATGAAGCATTTCATTCTCCGTACATTTGTACTCATGTCAATTGTATGTTTTATTGTAAAGGAATTAGTTGTGCTGGTGGGCAGAAATGTAATAACCCTGAAGAAGTGAACTTGAGACTTATCTGATTACCAACGAAATATGCTGAAATCTAATGCCTGAAAAACATATCATTTCTAAAGTAGTCATCACAGACACATTTCTTAAAGGGACCTTATAGGCAATTACTTCTCCTAACAGGATTACAACAATACATTTTGTATATTCAACTATTGAGTTTGTGATTTTAGTAGATGAATATTGATTGTCTGACAGAGTAATTGTTGAATCAGTTAACCATTGACATCCTTACACACAAACACAAGTAATGATACCAACATTTGTCAAGCAAAATATTGGCACAGTATATTTCTTTTCACATTTTATTTGAATCAAAATATCACTTACTAAACTGTTTCAATTTTGGTCACACTTTGAAATGATGCTCTGCATATTACGAAACACTGATTTTTCTTTGAATTTTCAACAGTACTTTAGGACCATGTATCATAACATTCCAAGATTGTGAGATTATAATTGAAAGTTGATATTGGGAAGGGGGAAATGCTTGGCTGTCAATTTACTCTACAACAACCCACTCCTGTATCTACTCCTAGGCGTGCTACTGACCTTTGGCACTACAAACTCTCCACCAGCCTTGTTCACCTTGCCTGATGTAGCCACAGGCTGTGACGCTGCTGCCGCAGATGCTAGGGCTGCAGATTTGCTGGCAACACGAGATGTGACCTTGGACTTAAGTCCAGACAAAAGAGCAGCCTGCAACGGACTGGCATTCTGACTCGAATGTCTATCAGATTTTGTCATTTTGTTAGCACTTAACATCTGCTGTTTCACCTCCATTGGTTTTGGTTTCTGTTGTGTTTGCTGTTGTTGTAATTGTTGTGGCTGATGCTGCTGTTGTACTGTGAACTGCTGCTGTTGCTGCTGTTGTTGGAGAATTTGTTGTTGATTATTTTGCAATGAAAAAGTCTGTTGTGCCACAGGCTGTTGCTGTAGAATTTGCTGTTGTTGAGACTGTTGTAACAAATGCAAAAGCTGCTGTTGTTGTTGTTGCTGCTGCTGCTGCTGTTGTTGTTGCTGCAGTTCATGTTGTTGAATTAGTTGCTGCTGTTGTTGCAACTGTTGCAACTGCATTAAGACTTCAGAAGCCTGATTTGGGGTGGCCTGCGTCTCCAACAGTTGTGTGGCCAGTAACGAAACCAGCTGACCATTGTTTTCAGGAGACTGTTGTGCTATACGAAGCAAATTGATCAGGTCCATCACAGCATGGTTGCCTCCAGCAGATGCTGCAGCCTGTTCAGGCTGGGGAGAGTGTGTGGTTTGGATTGGAGACGAGATCGGGGATGGGAGTGGGGGAGGGCTCTGAACAAGAGGTTGTGGAGGCACAGTCTTTGGTGGTGGTGGTGGAGTAGGAGCAGATGGCGGCTGAAGCAGAGCACGTAATGAAGACATAGATGAAGATCCTGTGCCGATATCAAAGTCATCTGAAGGGTATACTTTCTGTAAAGTGTAAAACATTTGTCAGCTACAATTCAAAGACAACATTTGTCAGCTACAATTCAAAGACTGAATATTGTATACAAAAGCATCTCAATTTATAGGGGAAAAAATCGAAATATACCCAAACACAAGAAATATATTCATTTAAAACTTTAAGTGTAATATAAAATGAATATCTTTGAAAAACAGACCTATATTTAACTTGAACTTGAAACCAAATTTATTATTTGGTAAGAAAATACATATTATTAATAAATTAATTTATATATAAAGGTTTAAAACCAAATTTTGTACTTAAATGGTTTTCTTCCACTAACACTGAGAATACCTAATCAAAGATATATTTTGAACATTCTATCTGTTAGATTCACCAAATATTTCATCTTTACTTACCTGTGAACTTGATGAATTGCTCCCAGTGAACTGTACAACAGAGTTACCAGATCTAGTGGTATTGGTATGCTGAAGAAGTTCTGCAAATGGAAATTCAGAATGTTTAAAAATCATTATTAGCATTTATTTGCTGTAATGCATAAACAATTAAATACCATGTATAAATCTAAAGAATTCAATGTGAATGATAAAGGACCAACTACTTGAAAGTACCGTAACATCTGCATATACTTTGGTATCAATATATTGTAATAAGCTCACAGCTGTTTTGGCAGAAACTCACGTACTGTTTGCATTGATATAACACATGCAAGGTTCCCAGAGATGTGTGTATCATATCTAAAGAATATTTCTATGTTCTTGAAACGATGCTATTGGCAGGGATTTAAAGACAACTGGGATAACTGTATTCATGTTAATTCAACAAATATTGAACAGACATACAAAGCTATTTAACTCATGGCATTGTTAACTAATAGGTCCCTCATTGATTATCCCAAGGAAAATGTTTAGCACATGACCAGCAGCACTGTACATGGTATAATTGATAGGAGCCAGAGCCGTTGACCAATTCCACTGTTTTCAGGCTGGGCCGTACCAAACCTCAAGTTATATCATGGTTCATTAGCTGAATGACATCATTTGTTTTATCAAAGATTTTTAAAGATAATATCTGATAAAACATGATTATTTATTAGTTATTAGGCGATTCTGGTCTTATTGTAAATCCTATAATATGCAATTCATGTTTCTAGGTCAAAATATAACAAGAATATCTACATTCGACTTTAATCTTAATGTTCTTTTAGACTTGAAATTCTTAACACAAGCACAAAACCAGACATAAAGACTCTATAGAAAACTACTTTTTCTGTTAAAATAGATATATACAGCATACAAACAATAGGATATTTTGAAGAAAAACTCATTCCATTTTGATACATGTAAAAAAAACATTCTTGTGGACCTTAAGCTAACTATAGCTATAGGCATATTGTTTCTTTATGTGGTATAGTATAGGCCTACTTGAATATCCAAGGGTTGTCAGAGTTTACCTTGCCTCAACATATGTATAGTCAATATACCATACACCCACATGAACATCTTTTACTTTTCTATTAATCTTTTAGATAACATGATGGGTGATAGTGGTTTGACTAAAAACTGCTACATATCATTATACTTAACAAAGTTTCATGTGTCACTTAAGATTTCTTTGGAATATAGAACTTTTCTTTATAACCTCTGGCTATTAAGTGACATAATAACTTACACCTGTGAATAGAAATGTGACAAGGGGATTTGCAGTTTCTCTAGCCATATTAGTTTGATAGCATTCTACAGGCTATGTGTCGTGTCACACCAGACTGATTATTGCTTAGATCTTTCACCTAAACCCTTTCAATATTTGGTCTGCCCACAATCGGATACATTCAAACATAGAAATACACAAAGAGCAAATGCACATGTAATAAACAATAACGAATGTCACCTATAATCCCAGCAGTTAAGCATTAACACATACCTTCAAAGTCCATTAAAGCATCAGTGTCGTCTAGATTGGGCTGTAAAGGAATGAGGCCAGGTTGCAGCAGACTCGATATACCAAATGAGCCTGTAAAAAACATCAGTGACTTTACCTTAAATTAACATTTTGAAATCTTCACCTGAGTTACTGGAGTTCCTACAGCTCTTATTATTTTGATATTCAGAATGACTGACAAGAAATGTTCTTTTTGAAAGTACAAAATGTCTTCTCATCAACTCCTGGTATATTCAAGGGAGATCATTCTTGGCAGCATAAATTGATAAAGAAAATAATTTTATTTTCTTGTTAGTCATTTGTAAAATATCTGAAGGTCATATATGATCTAAAGCACATTTTTACAATTAATTAAACTGACATCTTGAGTTACATAGCAACAGATTGTGTGATCAATAGGACATACAGCAAACGTTGAATCGCTTACTGAATTCTCGAGGATTCGGGAAGGTGAAGCTTGAATGATTGAGTTGATTGAAGAGTTCATCCTCCAGGTCCATGTCCATGAAGTCTGTACTGTTCAGGTAGATATCTGTAGAGGACAGTGGTTGGGAAGGTACCGGCTGGCTCACATCCCCAGCCTTGTTCAGCAGCAGATCTGACATCTGCAGAGCAAAAATATGCATGATTAAAAAAATTATTTGCACATCAGGGCTTTCAGTAGACCTATGAATATGTTTTTGACACCTCAAAGCTAGTTTTGAGTGGACACATCTATTTGACAGGTATTTTGACTCTCCAAACTTTAGTTTACTGTTAATAAAATTGTAAATATTGAAGAGTGAAATATTCAAATATATAGGAATCTCGGAGTATAAGATACGGGTTCAAACATTTTAAGTTATTTCAGACGCCTGGGCTTGTGCCTGGAAATAATACATTCAGAGACTTACATATGTGTTTCTGTTCTTGCTGAATTTCTTCCGATTGCAGTAGTAACGTCGCCATTTTTTGTACTCAAATGTGACCGTGTCTAATCTTCGTTTCCAGTACTTCCCTTCCAAAACTATTGCCTGTAGAGATGGAAAACATGTTCACAGTATGTAACAATTCAGGGATATCAATACATCTGTGAATCGTATCAATGATCCATGAATCAGTGCATTATTTGGCAAACCTACATGGTCATAACACCATGTAATTAGTGCTACATATATGTAGATTGAGCTACGCCTTTAGTTTCTTGAAGAAATATGAAAATACTTCAACAAAATTTTAACAAAAATATCAAAATATTTCAATGTTTGAGGTAAGTTACATTTGTATCACTGTACAGTTTAAATGGCTTGTATATATCTTTTATCAGTATCAGCACTCAGCACTTATGTTTCCATCAGTGTCGACATTTCCCTTATTTTATAACATTACCTTTTAAATTTTAACTTTAATTATGGGTGTATCATCAACATGAACATTTATCATCAAGACTTACACAAACAAGGAACAAATAAATGATATTCTTAATTCTTCAATCATAAATAATGATTGTATTGTTATAAAAGTTGCTTCACTATCGATTATATATATGATTCTGTATAAATATGATCACTGACAGGAGAAAAATCATTTTGTCATGAAATTTATTCCATTTTTTAACATACCTCTGGCTTTGAGTGAATGTCATCTGAAAGAGGTGCAGCAAACTGGCACACAACAGATTCCTTTCCATGAACATCTGAAATGAAATTAAGAAGGATGATTGTGAAATGGAGGATGATTGTGAAATGGATACTGAACAGTTAACACACACAAATAATTAACAGATTCATAGTTCAAAAAAGTTATTCTTATTTAATACATTGAAACCAGCTTCCACAGAGCTACAAATTATTTAAAATCAACTATGAAGATGCATGTCTATGATCTGAAATTAAGAATCACATACAAGGTCAGAGGTCAGGAATGTTACTGGAATGCTGCCCTCTCCCCTAACATTCTGTGTGTTTGGAAAATGTCACTTTCCTAAAAAGCTAGAAAAAATACCCCCCTACTCTATTTTTGAATGAAAGGAATTTGATTTTTGTTAAATTCATCTTGTTATGAAGTATCCATATAAGCCATATAAGCTAAATGTATTAATTAAGTGAAATTGTGTTCTAGAAGAATATTTTTTTAATTATTTTTTTTAATTACTTTTAGATTTATTTTAATTCTCTTGATCAAATTGTGAAGAAAAAAGTCTACATCTCATTAAGAGTGAACCGTATGTTCAAAATATACAGACACGAAAAATCCTGAATGCTCCTTAGTGTTTTGTCATTTAAAAGTAAAATCAGAGTTAAGTCCCCTTAGAAAGCTTTAAATTTCACAACAAATTGCACAAAATTTTGTGCAAAAGCCAATGTAATAGATTTTTAATTTTTTTTATATATTTTATATATTATATTAAAATCATTTTCTTTTCAGATCTAATTTTTTTTCAGGCAAAACTGTATTTTGCTAAAATATTAGTACTTTTGAAAACCGTTTACAAATATCATGAATATCAATAAATAGGAATAAGAAAACAATCAACAGTACATCATCATTGATCAGTATTTGCGAAAATCATCATATTGATCATCATATTTTTTGGAGAACCCACTCATACTGGGATTTAATTGTAGAACTGTATTTAAATCTCAATAGTAAGAGATATCCTTATGCTAAAGTAACATTCCAAGCATAAAATAGAACAAAGGGACACCAAATCTTCATACTGCTATACACGTATGATAATATAGAAGTTTGCACAATTTTTGGAAAGGAATATGCCAAGTGATTTATAGTCCCTGGTGAAATCTACCGTCTCCGATCAGAATACAAGGTGTGAGTTTCTAACACCACTTGTATCATAGTTTCAAACATGTGGCATTTGATGAAAACATTGAATTGGCATATTTATAACTTTTGACAGATAACCACTATACATCACAATGTAAATGTATGGTCTTTGCAGAATTGGTGTTTTTGCACAGCTGTGTTTTCAGATAACATTATATTTTTTTATTGTTCTGTTAAACTAATTTCAGATCTCTTATTTCTTTCTTTCTTAATTTTCTACCTTTATTTCAGAACTTTATTTCTACCTATTAAAACTGAACATAATGCATACACATTCATGTGTAAATTTCCTGCATCTTTTTAACAAAAGATTGTCCTCATAACTCTCACCACTGACACTCTACTTTAATTTAAGGTATCTAACCATGGCCAGAAGTTCTTTTTTTTAACCAAATTGCATGCATAATGTCAGAGCAATAATTTGAGCAGCGTTTAACCATATGAATGCTTTTTCAGTTTCACAGATTTTTTTCAAATATTTACATTCATTTTTTTTAAATATATAACGCCAAAAGACACACAGGGGTTATGTTTCAAGTAGTTTAGAATAGGATTGGTAGGTATTCTGTACATGAACATCTCTATTTTTTTTTTATTCTTTTACAAAGACTCATGGAGCATACACCTTTGCCATTCTTGACTGATATGGCAGAAACATTGATAAGACAGACACATACATTTTAGTTACTTACCAATAACAAAATTACAATTTTTTAAATCATTGTGTTTTTTTAGGTCTTACTAGCATATCACTATTTGACAATAATTGCTCTGATAATGTAGTCACAATACACATATACAAAAAGTATATCATCTCGGGGAAAATGATAAGTTTCTACAAATGATGCTTAGACAGGTTGTTATTTTTAGAATTTTGAATATAACTCTCTATGGCTAATTATTTCTCCCATCTCTATAATAGAAACATGTGTACATGAATACATATATATGGGGCAAAGAAGTAATTCCAACAGTGTGGACAAGTTTAGGTTGTCAAATTTTCGGAGCAATTTTTTGTGTTTTAAAATTAAAAAGAAAACCATAACAAAATTTTGTAGTAAGGAAATAAAAAGGAATAGAGTGTAGACTTACATTGCATGCACCATTCACGCCATATCAGGTTGTTGAGTCGAATCTTGTCCTTGATAGTTAGCTGCAGGCCGCGAAACTGTTTCCATTTTGGCGAGGTCAGTTTACCACTGAAAATTTATATTCGTTTGACATTACATCTAGCATGAATTAACATTTACCATGATACAAATGTAAAATACTTTTGAATTTCATAAAATTTTGTATACACAGTAACATTTTGTAATTTCATTGTAACAATATTTTTTCTGCTTCTTGTGAAGTTGGCATTTTTTTCAAAATTCTTATCTGAAAATTGAAAGTTTCCTGGAGCCTTTGCTAGATGAAATTTTGTTGAGCTATTGCCAGAACAAATAATTGTTTTCTATAACACAGATTATTTTATGCATACCTCCCTATGGTGTACATGCATGAGTGTGCATTAAAAGACAAAGTAAGTTTATCACACCACTGCCATGTTATGCTGTGATCAATACTTGCACATCTTATTTTTGCATTTTATCTCGTGTAACTTACTAACTACTATACATTCATGGTAAAAGGGAATTGATCCATTTTCCAAGGTTCAAAACATGCATCAAATAGTCCTTTCATACTTTTAAAAGTGTCCATATACTCTCAAGGGTTTATCAAAAGCCTGTTTTTTGGTCATAAAATCAGCTTGCAGACGAGCCCGCATTAAATACAAGCTTTAGTAGACAAACACAGCATACTGTATGTAATTCAGATCCATATAGACTATAGGTGTTTTGTCTACCTACAGATGTATTAATGACTAAAATGTTCAAACTGTATATATGTATTTCCAACAAAAACTCATAGCATTACAAGATCAGTTTATCCATGTGATTTAAGTCTATCATACTTGGGAACTTTTTGAAGTTTCTCTAGGGGATATTATATGTACTCAAAATTATCAAATGAATGTGTATGTCAAGGGAAAAATAAACCTTAAGATGGCATGGTTGGAGCTGTTCTTTCAGATTTTTTGATCAGATCTTGGAACAGGAGGCCCATGGATGGGCCTTAACGGTCACCTGATATATTTATACAGAGAGTTGATTTTGTTTTTAACATGAACAGAAATATTATTCAAAGTGACAAAAAACAATAAAACCACCTTACTCAATATCTAGCATACAGATTTCAGACTGAAAAGGATTTGAAACTAGCACCTCTGATTCTTAACAAGGAAAATGAAGAAATTTTAGCACACTGACTCCTTTGAGCCCCACCCTACAGCCCTTGGGGGTAGGGCTGGCTCAAAATTTTCAAAGTATCAAACTGTCAATTCAAGATTATAATTCCAATCAAGTTATTAACATGTAATATTCAAAGAATCATTTGCCATTATAAACCATAATAAATTTTGCCCCCCCCCCCCTCCCTCCTTCCCCAGGGGGTAAACGTTAGACCCTAGGGTCATAATCTGGGTCTTGAAAAGAAGATTTTTGAAATTTCAGTAAATTCAACCCTTTTTGGCCCCACCCATCAGCCCCTGGGGGTCAGTCAGGGCTGATATGTGCTTATTATCAAACTGCTACCTAATACTGATAATGCTAACCCAAATTGAATTACTTCCAATGGAAATTAAACAAATGTTGGTCCAAAATGTGATTTCCCTATATAAACTATAGTAAAGTTTACCCCCTCCCCAGGGGGAAACGTGAGACCCCAGGGTCAAGAAATTCACAATTTCGGTAAAGCACCTTAAGACCCTTCCATCTATGAAGAGTATTTGATTCTACCATATCTGGGTCTTGAGAAGAAGATTTTTGAAATTTCAGTCAATTCAACCCTTTTTGGCCCCACCCATCAGCCCCTGGGGGTCAGTCAGGGCTCATAGGTGCATACTATCAAACTGCTACCTAATACTGATAATGCTAACCCAAATTGAATTACTTCCAATGGAAATTAAACAAATGTTGGTCCAAAATGTGATTTCCCTATATAAACTATAGTAAAGTTTACCCCCTCCCCAGGGGGAAACGTGAGACCCCAGGGTCATGAAATTCACAATTTTGGTAAAGCACCTTAAGACCCTTCCATCTATGAAGAGTATTTGATTCTACCATATCTGGGTCTTGAGAAGAAGATTTTTGAAATTTTAGTCAATTCAACCCTTTTTGGCCCCGCCCCTCAGGCCCCTGGGGGCTTGGGACTAAACCGGCAACTATTTTTGTTGACCTTTGTCCATGGAAGGTCCCTGCAAAATTTCATTGAAATTGGTTCAGGGGTTTTGGAGAAAAAGATTTTTGAAATTTTAGTCAATTTGACCCTTTTGGCCCCGTCCCTCAGGCCCCTGGGGACTTAGGACTAAACCGGCAACTGTTTTTGTTGACCTTTGTCCATGGAAGGTCCCTGCAAAATTTCATTGAAATTGGTTCAGGGATTTTGGAGAAGAAGTAGAAAATGTAAATTGTTTACGGACGCACGACGCCGGACAAAAGGCGATCGCAATAGGTCACTTGAGACTTTGTCTCAGGTGACCTAAAAGAGGAAAATTTCAGCAAACTTAGTAGTGGAAAATGTAAAATGTTAGGGTCCAAGATCTGGAGTTTCCCTCCAAAATAGGGAGAGTTGGCAAGTATGGTCATCTATGTGTAATGATATACTGACCAATGAGATTGCACAAGCCTGGCATGTAGTACCATCTAAATGATTGTCAGAAGTGACAGGTGTTGTGGCATACAAGACATTGGTCCATAAGAGATACCTGGTGTTTTATGATTGTTTGTTTCAATTTCAGAAAGGTAACTGAATTTGGTTTCTTTAATTACAATTTCAAAGTTTATAAAGCTAGCACTAGCAGCACAACTTGAACTAGCATATATATACTATTTGGGTACATCGTGCTACCGATGCAACTACAGGTACCAGTTTCACTGCCCATCCCACGAAGAAACCAAAATCTTGCATCATACTTATTAAGCCCTGCTAAAAGCTTGACCTAGACTCAGTGACCTACATTCTTCTGTTCTCTTTAAGTTTTTAAAATTTCTAAATTTTTGCATAAACTGTGATTTCATATGTTAATTGAATAGCACTACGGTGCTAATGTTGTTATGTTACATGTATATGCGACGTTAAATATTGCTTCTTCACTGTTGGTTATATAACGTCAACGTTTGTTGACCTCAGAGATCAGAAGATGTGTATACACCACCGACCAAAGAACTCACAGTAATTTCAGACAAGACAAGCCTATACATTACTTGATGACATCAACATAAGATTATACAATGCACGTGTTTATGATACACGTGTATGATACGAGCTGTCAATGCTACTAGGTAATCACCTGTAAGCTAGAGTCATGCAATCGAACAGAGTTGAGAGGGACTCGTCTATATCAATGGTCCTGGTGTTCCTCCCCGTCGTAAACGTGTAGCTCTTAGCCGTATCTTTACGAGCCTTGCGGAAATCATAGCTGTCGTCTTTCGAACGTGATATTCTTGGTCCGTCATCGTCTCCAAGAGACGGCGATGGGTCATGATCGTGAACACGACTTAGCATGAAATGACCACTGTGTATTGTGTTCTTATCATCGTCGTCTTCTTCTTCTTTCATAACAGACGTCGTATTTTCACCAAGACCGTTTGACTTAACGTTCATTATGTGTGAACTTGTAAACCTTCCATTACCCGACGTATCGGGTAATGGCCAAGCTTTAACGCTCATCATTTCCGAATATCTTCACTGTCAACAACATACGAAAGAGACAGTATTCCAAGTACGTCGTCCGCCATTACTCCAGAACTTGCTCATAGAGGGCGTGTTTTTGACTATGATGAGGCACCTCAAAGGGGTAATTTGAAACAAACTCATCGAGCATAAATAGAACTTTTTTGAGTCTCTCTGTTTTGAAAAATATTGAAAAAATGCAATTTATAAAATAAATTTAGTTTAATCAGAGACGTATATAGTGTAATATATACGTCTCCGATTTAATGGTAAGCCTTGCTTTCATTACAGAAACAACTACATCTACGTACGTACGTCACACTAATAATATAGACCAGGGATGTGTAGTAGGCCTAACTACACATCCCTGTATAGACCAATAAAAATAGAACGACAACGTGCATGTTACCAGATAAAATGTCGTTAAGGCCCACTTAATTATATTTCAAATATTTTTCAGCAATGTTTACCATCGAACTGAATAGTTGAGTTGTCAAAATTCCTTACAGTGATAGACTTGAGACTTTGCGAGTTGGATTTTTTGTCACGTTCGTTACAGAACGAATTTACGTGGAGCCTAATGTCACCGTTACATTCCGAATCATTGCCAAAGACAGCGCTTCCTTTAGATTTTTTTTAATCATTTGGTAGAGGAAAATGCTACTGAAAATGAAATTCATACTGTTGATCTCCTAGAATATCGAGTTTGGTTTTCACGAAATTTCTGACACAGCAGCTGGAGTTATTATCTTTCGGTTTAAATAAAAACAGAAAGAAATCAGAACATCCAAAAATGTACTTTATAGATCTATAGCATAAAGCTACTCGAAAAATAGTGAAATCCGTTGTTTCGTAATTTCCCGCGCGAAAATCAGCAAAATCACAAATATAGATCAAAAACGGGTTATCGAGATAAAAAAAAAAAAGATGAAAGAAAAACACGCGGTACACATTCAAATACGGTTGACAGGCCTATATGACATGGATATTATTGACACGCAGAAAATGTCATTGTCTATAAACTGATCAATGCTAATTTACAGACGTGAAATACACTGGGTAACTGTCTGCTATGGCGTTGGCTATTTTATTGCCCCTTTATACGCTTATTTTACACATTTGGGTAAATAGAACTCGTTTCCCACTCTAAAGGATGACCAACTAGCCCAACCCATATACCAAGACTTCATAAACATGCTGGATGACAACAACTTAGTCCAAATGGTGAGTAAACCCACAAGGGAAGAAAACATTCTGGATTTATTCCTTACAAACAACCCGACACTTGTTAGTCGAGTTACCAATATGCCAGGTCTATCAGATCATGATACAGTGTATATAGAAGTAAGTCTCTATTCTAAATCCCAAAAACAAAAACCAAGACAGGTTGATATGTACAAAAGGCAGACTGGAAGAAACTCAAGGATAGGATGTGTACATTCGGAAAAACTTTCACCGAAAATCACCACGGTAAGTCCACTGAAACTCTTTGGCAAGAATTTATTTCGGAACTAAATAAAGCCATTTCAGAATCAATTCCAACAAAAACAATTGGTACGAAGCAATCCATTCCCTGGATGACTCAAAACATTAGACGTCACGTCAGGAAAAGAGACAGCCTGTATTATAAACACAAAAAGTCAAAAAAGGTAAGAAAAAGGGAACACTTCCTGCACTACAAACACCTGGTACAAAAGATGATTAAAGAATCCCATAACAGGTACCTAGAAGAACTCCTGGGAATCATAACACCAAACGAACAAGGTGAGCAAAAATCTTATTCAACGAAGAAATTGATCAGCTTTTTGAAAAACAGTCGACAAGACCCCAAAGGTATAGGACCCCTTAAACGAGATGGCCTGCTGTATACTGACAATATAGATAAAGCAAATATCCTAAATGAACAATTTCAGTCGGTCTTTACACCCAAATCGCCTCTCAGCCTTAAACAACTTTGTCAACAACAAACCATTGACCAAGGAATTCCCACCCAAGACCAAAAAAGTAAGTACCTACCAATGTCAAACATTACTTTCTCAGTTCCAGGTATTGACAAACTTCTTTATAAACTTAATCCCATTAAAGCGGCCGATCCTGACGCCATCAAACCAATAGTTCTTAAAGAACTCCATAGTGAACTGGCACCCATTTTACAGGTATTATTTCGATCATCATACCAAACCGGTGAGCTCCCATCCCATTGGACCTCGGCATACGTCGCTCCATTACTCAAGAAAGGTGAGAAAAATAGAGCTTCGAACTATCGCCCCATTTCCCTTACCTGTATTTTGTGCAAGGTCATGGAGCATATTGTAACATCAAACCTGGTAAGACATCTTGACACAAATAATATTATGTTTGAACTCCAGCACGGTTTTAAAGAAAAACGTAGTTGTGAAACCCAACTAGTCATGCTTATGGAGGATCTTTTCAAAAACCTACAAACAGGTAAGCAAACAGATTTAATTTTACTCGATTTTAGTAAAGCTTTTGATAAGGTAAACCACGAAAAACTGTTATTCAAACTTCATCAATACGAGATACAGCACCTAACTCTAAAATGGATCAGAGGCTTTCTTACAGGCAGAATACAGCAAGTTGTCTTGGAGGGAGCTGCTTCATCAAAAGTCCCGGTAACATCAGGTGTACCCCAGGGCTCGGTCCTCGGCTCAATTTTATTTTTAATTTATATTAATGACTTGCCACTAAATATAACATCAACAGAGCGTCTCTTCGCAGACGACACTGCCATCTACCTAGCAGTAAGTAAACTACAAGATGCATACAGACTCCAAAAAGACCTTGACAGATTACAGCTATGGGAAAAACAGTGGGATATGGAATTTAACCCGAGCAAGTGCCAGGTAATACACATATCCAGGTCAAAGACGCAAATCCCCACAGAGTATATGCTACACGGACAAGTACTCGAAACTGTTCCCCATGCAAAATACCTTGGTGTCACCATATCATCAAACCTGACCTGGAATAAACACATCCAAAATGTAAGTAGCCAAGCCAACAGAACTTTAGGATATATAAAAAGAAACATCAAGGTGAAAGACAAAAAGGTAAAGGCTGCAGCGTACACGGCACTGGTTCGCCCTAAATTAGAATATTCTGCCTGTGTCTGGGACCCATCCACCCAAGATCAAAGTAAACAACTAGAAATGGTCCAGCGCAGAGCAGCTAGGTGGGTGTCTGGCAAATTTTCCCCTATGGACTGTGTAACAGACATGTTAGGGAGTCTGGGTTGGCAAACATTAGCACACAGAAGATCCAAAAGCAGACTGTGTTTATTTTATAAAATAGTCTACCAGACAGTAGCAATCCAAATGCCACCATATGTAGTCCAACGAGACTATCAAGAAATGCCCACCCCCTATCTTTTCGGCAAATCCCTACCAATAAGGACTTTTACAAATACTCTTTCTTTCCCCTAACCATAGTCCAATGGAACGCCCTCCCGTTAGGAGCTTGCAGCAGTCCATCACTTGACACTTTCAAGAAGGCAATCAGTGATACTCCCTTTGTTAGGACATAGACTATGTCAGCATATTTTTAACTTCACCCTCCCCCGTCCCCTGTCATCATAGTTCACCTACCCGAATACACTATTTCTGGCTCTGTATTGGAAAGAGTTCAAAAAGGTGGCCAGAGTTTAGATGACCAACACCGAATCAGAACTCTTTCCATATACAGCTCAGTTGGAGTGTATGTTACTGTATATTAGGTAAACAATCTTCAAACTATTATTATCCCCCCCCCCCCCCCATCCCTCACACCCCGACTCAAAGTCCATAATAGATCCGCTATTTTGTACAACAGGAGCTATCAACATCCGTAGTTCTTTCCTCTCCCTCTGCCTTATGCATGCACCAGTACGCACTTTATCATTTCTATCTCGGTCACCACACAATACCTTTTAACATGCACAGACGCGCACGCTGCACATAATACTCGAAAGAGGGTGATGCAGAATATATAGATAGATTGATATACGCTACCCTGGTGATTTTTTCTGATGCAGGTGACAGGGTAAGTATCGTACCAGTTACCGAAACGTCACACACAAACATGTACTGGTTGTAATACATAACCTTTCTAAGATGCTATTCATTTCTTCTGACTTGATGCACTTTTTCGGATAATGGTAAATAATTTATATTATATACATGCAGTGAATTATAAGTCATCAGGTTATCTTTTTTGTTTGTGGTAAAATCTTGATTTAGCAATTAAAAAAAATGTATGTATTTCGTCATCCTTAACATCTATCCATTGTGGTACAGTATTATAAAGTATACAACCAGGTGTATGTATAGAACGAACTGTAGGCCTTTACCGTGACACGAAGCTAATGACACGCCATGAAAACAGCTACACAAAACATTAAAGGGTCTACACGTACTGTATACATCCTAATTATAATGTAAAATGAACACAGACAAAAAGATGTTAATTTCCATACCGTGCACGTGATAAATCAAGTATTCAAATGAGCTTTTAAATCATGGACTTGTGTAGTGTATTCAATGGTATACATATCTACAAAATAAATAATTAAATAAATACATAGAAAAGAAACGACACTTTAATCTATTTCAGTAGATCTTCGTCTGAATGATGTAGTATGATATAGAGTTATAATAACTAAGCCCCCAGTTTACATACATATATTACATATAACGTGTAGAGACATGTATCCCGGAATTGTGGTAAACAATATTGAATGTGTAAATGCGGTTTATGATGTAAAGCTGTATACAGTGTAAAAAGCTGTATATAGTCGAGAACATTAAACTAGTAGGATGTAAGAACTTAAAATGGATAGCTATAACGATACACATTAGGCATAAAATACAAGCCATTCGAATTGATATGTCTCGCCTGTGCCCTGCTTTGACCATCAATGCACATGTCAAGTTTGGTTGGTCAAGCACTTTAAATTGTAGTTTCAGAGAAACTGACTTAAACGAAAAAAACTTAATATTGATGGAGATGCTGACAAAGTCAATGGACCATAAAAGGTAGTCTGCATCCGGCATTTGATGCATAGGTTGAAATATAGTACCTTGGA